GACGGCCAACTCACTCACTCCCTCTCACCCATTTTGTCTTATTCTCCCTCATTTTTCTTTTTCTTTTATTTTTCTTTTTGCATGGCAAGTGTCAACTAGTCGTTAAGGCCCTAGTCTAGGCCCTCCTTCTTAATTTAGACCCTTCCTCTCCTCATGGTGCAGTCCGTTGCATCCCGAACTGTAATTTTGGCCTTCTCATGCCCACGGAAGCCTCCTTTTATTCCCATTTCACTCCCGCAGTGGCCTCCCTCACTCCGATTTACCCCGGGAGATCTTATTTTTCCATGGGCTCTCTTTTAATTTATTTTTTTGGGGGGCGCTGATCCGAGATTTTTCGGATTGCTCCCATGCATCCCACTTCAATTTCCTTCACTTTTCTTTTTCCTTTCAGCCTCCCCGTTTGCTCCCACTAGTGCCCATACTAGCAGAGCTAATATTCTTGGTCGTCAAGATCCTCGATCTTGACAGTACGCCTTGCTTTAATTATTTGCTCCTCACATCGCTCTTTATTTTTCTCTTGGGACGTCACAAGTCCCTGCCACTTGTCCCACGCTGGTCCTCGGTATTTGTTTCGCCGTGGACCGCCGACTTTTGTCCCGCCGGTGGTCCCCGACACCTAGTCCCGTCGCCGGTCCCCGACACTTAGTGCCGTCGGTGGTCCCCGACAGTCCCGTCGGCGATCCCCGACACTTAGTCCCGTCGGTAGTCCTCGACACTTAGTCCCATCGGCGGTCCCCGACACTTAGTCCCGTCGGTGGTTCCCGACACTTAGTCCCGTCGGCGGTCCCCGACACTTAGCCCCGTCGACGGCCCCCGACACTTAGCCCCGTCGGCAGCCCCCGACACTTAGCCCCGTCGGCGGTCCCCTTGGCCTCTGTTGTATCGAAATCTAGTGCCCCGTCTGTCCTCAGGCTATGCCCTTCCACGCCCGAGTCTCCGCGCTCATTTTCCTGCCGCTACTAGTTCTTTCTTGCGGTTCCCAACCCGGGGCGCCATTGCGCTCACCAACTTAGTCCTTCGCTCTTTTCTGTTCTCGTTCCTCCTTATTCCCGATTTCTCTGCCGTGCACAAATTGGCTCTATACAAGCTCTTGAGTGATGGGAAGTCGTTCGGGACCCACCGGTCCCGACACATTCCCCCTCATCATTCACGATGTCCTCATCGCGCACCAGTCCATAGTCAGTAGGAGAATTTGGAGGGGGTAGACAGAAGGGGGGGGGTAGGGTGAGACAGGTAGTTAGCTTGTCAGGGTCCTTTTTGTCTTTTTCTGTTCCTTTCTCAGGGTTTCCTTTAGTTTTCACCCCTTGGGGCGGAGGAGGGTGTGGAGGGTCGAGGGCCTCCTTCAGGCTTCCTTTTTCTCATCCCATGCCAGCCAGGTTCCTTTTTCGGCTACCGTCATTCTCAATGCCTCTTTGATTTGGTTCTTCGGCCCGTGTAATCCATGTTTTCCGTCATCCTCAATACCTCTTCCATTCGGGTCCTTCGGCCCTTGCAATCCATGTTTTCCGTCATTTTCAATGCCTCTTCTATTTGGGTCCTTCGGCCCGTGCAATCCATCCTTTCCGTCATTTTCAATGCCTCTTCTATTCGGGTCTTTCGGCCCGTGCAATCCATGCTTTCCGTCACTCTCAATGCCTCTTCCATTTGGGTCCTT